GAAGATTTATGGTCTTAGTTCGCGGGAAAAGCTCCACGGCTTCCCGCACATGCGCAGAACGTGTTTCTGGTACTAGGCGGTGACATCACCCAATGCTTCCGTGTGCAAAGCATCATGGGAAATGAAGTTTCTTGGCGCTGATGTGATTATTTGCTTTCCAGAGCAATTTAAGCACAGTCATTTTGGAGAAAATCACTGCATAGTAATTTCCTCATGAGGTCAGACCCTCAACACCAGAGTCCGCCCCATTCTCTCTCGGCCCAATACGGAGACGCTGATGCATGCTTTTATCACCAGTAGAATAAACTACTGTAATGCCCTGCTTTCTGGTCCTCCTAAAATGAGGATTTCAGGTTTACAACTATTACAAAACTCAGCAGCACGTGTCCTAATGAAGTCCAGGAGGCGGGAGCACATCACTCCAGTTTTAGAATCACTGCATTGGCTTCCCGCATGTTTCAGGATCGATTTCAAAATACTTTTAACGGTTTTTAAGTGTCTTAATGGTCTTGGGCCTTCTTATCTTTCAGAACTGCTTTTACCGTATGAACCCACGCGGTCTCCGTGCTCCTCTGGCAGCCGTCTCCTTGTCATCCCTAAAGTCAGGACATATATTCACGGTGAGGCGTCCTTTCAGTACTACGGTCCTCGCCTCTGGAACGAGCTGCCAGGGGACCTCAGGGCTGCTGAGAACATTCATGTTTTTAGAAACAGGCTCAAGACCCATCTTTTTAGCTTAGCTTTTAACTAATTACTCTCATTTATTAAATTAAGTAATTACTTAGTTTATTTATTTATTTTATCTATTTATTTTATTGATTGAATGTATTCTTTCTTTATACGTGCTTTTTAAACAGTTTTACCATGATTTGTGATCAACAATATTTTAATATCTATATAACTTTTATATTACAATTCTTATTTTAGCTCTTTTGATTTTATATTTTTACCTTAATTTAACCTTTTTCCGGTGTTTCCTCTGTGGGAGCCCTCTGCCCCGGCGGCGGTGGTCGGTGGTGGCGGCCTGGGTGCTTTCCATGTGTGCCTGGGTAGTGGTGGGGGTCTCTGCCCTCCCTGCCCTGGGCGCCCGGTGTCAGTGCCTCAGCTGCTGCTGTCGGGGTGGATGGCTCCCCTGATGGCGTTTCCTTATCCTTATCTTAGCTGGTCTAGCTTATCTGATCTCATTCAATCGGGTTTTTTTTTTTACCATGGGGAAGGTGGCATGTGTGTGTGTGTGTGTGTGTGTGTGTGTGTGTGTGTGTGTGTGTGTGTCAGTGGAGGAGTGTTGTGAAGGGTTTTTTATTGTCAGACTTTAAAATTCTGGGGATGAGAGGGAATGTGGGGCCTTTTTAATTTGTTAAGCACTTTGAGTTGCATGTATTGCAGGATTAAGTGCTATATAAACAAAGTTGATTGATTGATTGATTGATTGATTCATTGATTGATTAACACAGGGGTGCTGGCGGTTAGGGCTAGGGGGCCCCAGGCGGCCACTGACCTATGCATAATGGTAAAACCGTCACTGTGAATGAGAACCAGCGAGCAGCTCTCCATCTCCAAAACATTTTCAGTTCCAGGCTTTGAACTGGCTGTACTCAGGTTGGTTTAAAAACCATAATGCTTCCAGCCTCCTTTGTCCACACTGTCATGGACCATAGCAAAGGGAACATATTTCACTCTCAGCACATAACAACATCCATGAAAATGGCATTTGCGTGCTGTCCAAGGCCCGCTTCTCTTCAATAAGAAGCAGCTTACTGTCTTTGTGACACCAACATCCTCGTCTGTCTTTTGTTACAATCAAAACTGACAACGAGGAACCCTGAGATCTGAGTCGGCTAGTGTGGGTGGCTAAATATTAAGCACCAACTCCTTGCAATCACACTCCAATCCATTAGATCCATTTATCTGCAGGATATTTATAGGGTTCCTTGAATTGAGGTCTTGAGGCAGGTGAAGCGGAGGGGAAAGGCCTGTTCTGACTGGCAGTGATTAATGCCTGAATACGCCAGCTTTATCTCAAGTCCGGCAGCTTTGGGAGCGGTGAATGTCGGTGCAATTAAAGGCAAGTGGCAGACGTGAGGGGGGAAAAAAAGGAAGTGAGGTTTTGTGTCTATCTGCACGTTGCAGACTGAGCCGGGGCACATGGGCAGTGTGGAGAAGGTTCCAGCAGCAGGGTCTATTCATTCCTTAATCACCTCCACTACTCATTAAGGTCGTCTTTTGTTCCACCTACCGCCTTTCCCTGCACTGTGCCAGCAGATAAAGTATGGATGGCTGAGACGAGAGGAGAGCTGGGGGAACCCCATTAAAGAGAGACAGAGAAAAGATTAAAAAAATGTGCCGAAGAAAAGGACGGTCAGGGACGGAGTGGCACAGTCAATGAGCTCAGGAGAGAGTGGACTTGTGGTAAAAGAGCCATGCTTAAAATTTTTACAAAGTTTTTTTCTGGTAAAAATTAAAGTTTAGATTAAACGGTGAATATTATGGAAGTCCTAAAAAGCAAGCAGAAAGAAAAGTTATGGGTTTTCTATTGATAACATGACTTAAAAGCAGTTAATGTTCTCTATGAAGCTGAATTTATCTTAAGTGGTTGAAGCCTTTCAGAGGACGCAGTTGCTTCGGATCAGGGTGGCATTGATGATTGTTGCAGTTTTTCCATTTTCAACCGTCAGATAAAAAAATGGTCAAGCTTGAGACCCCAACAAGCAGACAGTGTTTAGCTTAGGAAAAAAGACCATGGTGTTCTTCCCTTAAACGCCCCTTTCCCAACGCAACGTCTGCTAACAGTAAACAGTAACGTGATCTCTTCTCAGCAGCCTAATAATAATAATAATGATAATAATGATAATAATAATAATAATAATAATAATAATAATAATAATAATAATAATAATAATACCAATAAAAATAACAGCAACATTATTATTATTATTATTATTATTATTATTATTAATATTAATATTATAATCATTATCATGTAATGATGATGAAATCCTTTAAAGGTCAAACAGTATCAACAAGAGTAAATAGCTAATCTACAAATACAACAAATAATAATAATTTTGTAATCTTAAATTAAACTTGAAAACATTCAAAAAGAATTAAAACAGAGGAACGGGTAAGTGACTGGTTATGGTTGAGAGACTGACCATGAAGGTTGGTCTAATTTCCCTCTGGGATTAATAAAGTATGTTTGAATTTGAATTGAATTTGTTTTCTGCTGAGGAAAAGTACTTGTTTGGGTTTCACATAGCTAAAAGTGTGTCATCAGTATACATATTTACTTTCAATTTAATATTTCAATCAAATAAAAAAAAACGTTTTGGCATTTATCATCCATCCTCCAGCTTCTCTCTCTCTCTCTCTCTCTCTCTCTCTCTCTCTCTCTCTCTCTCTCTCTCTCTCTCTCTCTCTCTCTCTCTTTCACAGCTTTAACAGAAAGGTTGTAGTTTTCGTCTCTTTTATGGCATTCCTTCCTTTTCCCTTGAGATTGTAAACATCTCTGAAGTTCTGTCAGAAACACAACGCAAGGAAAAGAAAACATTTTCACAAGGGAAAAAAACTATGCATAGTAATTTTTTACATTATTCAACAGAACTGTCAGGTGGGTTTTTGTAGCCTACAGCAAATTTGAAAAAATATACATTTGCAAGGACAAAATAATTATGTGTGAGATGGTAAAAGCAGACTTTTGGACCTTTTACCAATTACCCCGTAGGTAGGGACAGCAGCCGGCCTTCTGCTTGTAGCCTGTTTAAAAAGAAAAGTGATGTTGTCATAATGACAGAGCCGCCCCCTTATATTTCAGGTTGCAAACACATCTGTGCTCAATTACAGTAAAGTAATTCAACCAGTAAAAGCATCTTAATGGGTGGGTGCTGGAATGATGGCAGAAGGGACAGGAAGAGGGTGGGAGGAGACCGGGGAGGGGTAGAGGTCGAAGACAGACCTGCAGGAGATGATGTTGTGTGTGTGTGTGTGTGTGTGTGTGTGTGTGTGTGTGTGTGTGTGTGTGTGTGTGTGTGTGTGTGTGTGTGTGTGTGTGTGTGTGTGTGTGTGTTAGCAAAGTGCCTTCCTATAAGCTGCAGGATCTTTAATTGATTAACTAAGTCTCATTTTCCCAACTTTTATCAGCTGCATGTTGGATTAATAGCGAAGTTGTGAGTACTTTAACATGACCTGACCCAAAGCCATTAAAGCTGTTATAACAAATCTGCAAACAAGCTAGGTGTGGAACACAATCACTGTCACGGGACCCCTCGGGTATTTTCTGCCTGAACTGGAAACCCGTGAGGAAACGAGGTAGCGCTTAAGACCAGTCGCCATTTCCCAGGTCCAAACGTCTTATGTTGTTGGTGACTTTAAATGCAACATCTCCTTCTCTGATATTACTGAGTGGAGAACCTGTCACACCGGTGGTGTTCTGTTGCTGAATACGCAAATGCGTTATGAATGGAGGACCCAGGGAATTGTGGCGGTTCAGCGAGACAGACAACCGGCTGGCCCAATAGTTGGTTTTGGTCTGAAACGTGTTGTTGGCGGAGGTTTTTAGGCAAATGCCAGAGAACCATTTTATTATTATAATAATAACAAAATTAATAATAATAATAATAATAATAATAATAATAATAATAATAATAATAATAATAATAACAATAATTATTATTATTATTCTCTACAATATATTTACTATGTTAAAACTTTCAGAGGCATGAAAAAAATGTTTTAAGCTCATTTGTTTTCCAATTTTGCCATTCCAGCTTTAATTCTATTCCATTCCAAGAATTGAATACACACCACAAGCTGGGAAAAAAATGGCATTATTAACCACTGATCATCAGAAATCAAGTTAGTGCCATGGTCGGAAATGTTTAACATACCTGTGGTCCTGCAGCTTAACTTTCATCCGTCGTGTTTCTGCTGGTCTTTATGTGATGTTTTCACATTTTTTCTTAATCATTTTTTTGAACCCTCACTCTTTTTTATTGTCCTTCCAGATGCATCTCCTCACCACAAGCAGAAGCCATCAGCAACTGACCTCTGCTACAAAACTGAAATCAGCAGCCTGATGGACTTCAACTCTCCTGACGCCTCCCTCGACAAAGGTACAACTTCAGGTTTTACGTCACTAAACCTGGCTGACATAAAATCAGGCTTCCTGTCACTGTCCTGCTTTGATATGCTGAACGTTGCTCTGCAGCAGAGTTGACGTGCACACATCCAGAGGATGTAAGCATGCACATTTGCATTTCACGCTGAATAAATTCACAAGTTGGTGGTAAAGCGTCACTCAGGACTCCCTGATCTTTCATTTTTAACATTTGCTACGAATTACATTTAAGTGATTCTATTGAATTTATTTAATTGGATTTTAATACAAAAGCAAATGTTTAAATGTCTTGAAAGGTTAATGCAAAGTGTTAATATCAGATGCTGATTATGTGGTTTCAACTGAATGAAAAATGAATCATGTCATAATCATTTTTCTGAGCTGATTTCCTGTTCTGTGCTCACTTCCTCGTCCTGCCAAGAATCAGTCCAAAGAGCTGCCTGTAAAACTTTAAAGACTATATTTATGTCCATGGCTGTTATCTGGCTCGGTGGCTCAAACCGGTCCTACGCAGACGTCATCAGCTCCACAGACAGTCAGAGTTTTCTTTAGTCTGCTTCCATGTTCCAACACTTTTACGACAAAAGAAGGACTTTGGTGCGTTTAGAGAGGATTGATGGTGCGTGCAGACACACCAGTGTTTCCTGTAGGGCTGTGAGCTGCTGCAGAGATCTACAGCGTCACACAGCCAGCCTGTTGGGACCCTGCTCTCATTAGTGGCTGGCTTGGGGGGGTGTTTGGCTGCCAGTTTTCTCTTTTGGTGCTGTGATGATACTAAAAGGGCAAATAAATAGTCCTTGTTCCAAAGTAAAGGGAGGAACAAAGATGCTGTAGAAAAAAAAACATGCAAATTGCCTCAAGTTCTGTAGGCAAGTGCAGGTCAGATATATGTTTAGAATAGTTTTCTACTTTATTTCTCTGATCAAGCATGCAAATACTCCTGCACACAAACACACTCTCCTGCAGCGCTACGTTGCTTTATGCATTTGGTCTTCTCTTGTTTCCTGGGTGCTCTAAATGTGCAGAGTCAGGAAAACTACGCTCACACACGTACCAACCCCTGCAGTGGCCAAGGCCACATATCACTACAAGTTTCATCAGAACGAGAACAGAACAGGCAACCGAGGGTGATGTTATCAGCAAATTCATCTCAGTTCTGCAGCAAAAGAGAGAGACGGGGAGGGAGAGCGGAAACGAGCACTGGACCATTAGGGAGACTGGGTGCTGCTTCTGCACATTAGGTGGCTGTGATGTCACCAGCTGGGTGAAGCTGTGAATGTGTGCTCATTTACAAAGAAGGTCAAAGCAAAGAAGGACTCCCAGAAAAAAATAATACGGGTGGCAAAACAGGATAAACAGAGGAGAAAAGAGCTGAAGAGCACCGTGAAGAGGTGTGAGATGAGGTGAACGATTGCATGAGGACTTTCAGTGTGGATTCTGATCACTGAGGGAGGATTATGCAGAGGAGGGGAGATCAAAATGAACAAAATGATGGGAAAATGCACAGAAGAGTCTTTAATGTTTTTATTCTTTTTAAATCCCCCCTCACATGTCTTCAAGCAGCATAATCAAGATCTCGCTCTGAGATGCTTGGGCAGAGCTGAGCTAATTCATATAAGTTACGTAAAGGTGACAACAAATCAAGATGTTTTTTTTTAGTTAGGACTAAAGGACAGATTAAACAAAGATGTAGTGTTTCTGATTGTTTATTCTATGTAAAATCATATTACTATAACATGCTTAGAGAAGGAAAAATGGCTCATATTTCTATGTGTGCCTTCTGATCTCTTCAAAAAAGCCACAGTATTACAGAGCAGGTTTGTTGAAACCACTTTTACTTGTTATTTTTGAAAATGATCAGTCAGAGTTTCACATGCAGGCTGAACATGAATACTTTAGCTTCTGATAGAAAATAGATGGAAACACGCTTGGTTTAGAAAAGACTGACAGATCTATGTCACACTGCCACCTAATGTTAATGGACTCACTCATCTTGACTCGCAACGTTGAAGGCTGTTGTTGGTTTAGCGTCCTGGAAACCGCATTGAATGTCTCAGCTAGCAGAAAGCTAACTGTAAGCATTAGCAACTCTGCCACACAGCAGAACTTCTTCAGGTTTGTGTTATTTGTGGTGAAAAAACATCAACATTGCAGAGCAAATAGTCAGTGGTATAGTCAGGGACAGATTAACACTTTGTTGTACCCTGGGCAACAATATTGAAGGGCCCCATCATCATGACCCAAGAATCACCATAATATGGTCACATACAGAATATTTTACTGTAATATGCAGTAAAAATACTCAATACTTGAATGCCTGACATCACGTAACCCGCTCAGGGTAACCTCTGACCCACCTTGTGTGGACTGACCAATGAGGAGAGGGTCTTAACTTGAGGCCCTCTCTTCATTGGTCAGTCTGCATGAGACTGACTCTCAACTGAGTCATTTCAGAGTCATAGGCAGCGAAGCATCTCTGTGCAGTGCAAAAGCCCGGGTGGACAGTTTGTTTAATATAGGGTGACCATATTTCCATTTCCAAAAAAGAGGTCAGGGGATCTGTGCCTATGACGTCACACTATGGCAACGCCACACAAACCACGTTGGGACCATCGACATACATATATGGACAATGGGTTTCCATAGGCTCCAATAAAAAGTTTTTGTACTAAAATGGGAGGTGGCCACCACCGCCGTTTTGACCGTGTCACAGGTTCCGTCCAGCCCAGACAATTCCATAAAAGGGAAGAGAGGTGGAGCTGAGGGTGGGGCTGTAAGGCTGGGATAAACTGACGACACCCGGTCGAACTAGCTACAAGCTAAACTGAAGCTAACCCAAAGCTAATGCGGAGGTGGGAGCTAAGCTAACAGAGGCAGCAACCTAGCTACAATCGGAGTTAACTGTGCACAACATCAGAGCTTCTGAGTCAGAGATACGCCGGGCTGACCGCTGGGTAAAACCGGGTGGAACACAGAGGTCTCCAAAAACCTCCACAAGCCGGCAGCCGCACAGCAGACAAGCGCCGCTGCAATCTGAGATGCGCAGAGCTGCCGCTGGGGAGAACCGGGTGGAAAGGTTTCCATCCCAGAGCTCCACAAGCCAGCAGCCCGTGCAGCACACAGAAGCTGCGATCAGACAGAGATGCGCCGGGCTGCGGGGAGGCGAGAACGGGTGGAAAACAAAGGTCTCCCGAGAGCTCCACAAGCCGATAGTCGGAACCCAGCTCCACCAACATGATATATTTCAACCCATTTTCTAAAGTGCAGCATTATGTTAAATGCACTGGGTTTTACCCTATTACATTTAAATTTCATGGTTAAACAGTACATGTTTAAATCTAAGCTCAGCTCGGCAGTGACCTAAAATACATAAATATAATTTTACTTACCGAAAATAATGAAGTGGAGACTCCTTGGACGCTCTATTGGTGCAATTAATGCCACAGCAAGTCATATTGTCCAACAATTGCACAAAAAATATCCATAAAGGAATCCACAAACACAGAGACTCAAAATCCCGGAACAGTTTCCAAACCAGACCGAGGCTCTACTGAGGCCTTTCCACAGAGGTAGCTCTGTGGTCATGTGGGTCGGATGCTCATTAATTATACAGAATTTTAGGCTTTTAATACACTTAAACAGAAGAGTGAGAAAAAATTCACCCCCCTCAGAGTTGTCATGAGTGTAAACTAGATCATTTAAACCAAAAACATGTGTTGGTACCAAGCTGTAAACATGTTTATTTCTGCTGTGAAATTGGTATTTTTAACATGGGAGTCAATGAGGATTTGCTCGCTTCTGACACCAGCCCCTAGTGGATGAGGGTGGAACTGCAATTTATTTCACTTCCGGGTTGGGACCAATTTTAGAGCCGCATTGTGGGGGCTTGGTTGGGACCCATTTTTTGTAAGAACTAAATTAATATCAGATTCTGCCAATAAAAGGGCTCTAAAACAATTCATATGTAAATATTTTGCATATTTATTGCAAAATCTCATTTTTCTGCTTTAGTGCTGCAACAAGGTTTAATTAATAATAAATTATTATACCTTTTGTTTTACTACAGCATCGGTAAGCTTCCTGTGCACAGATTATTAAGGATGCTTGTTTCAGCTGTGAGATTAGACGATAGGCTCAATGAAAAAATAAGTTGTCACACATGGAAACTTTCAGAGAATCCACAAATAGTGGCTTTCAAATGGTTTTGTTACTTTTTTCAAGTTTAGAAAAGCAGCAGATGAGACTGCATGTCTGATAAGTTAGTTTTTCATCTGATAATATTAGAACATGTCAGTAATGTCTGAGGGGCTTTAACAAACACTGTATAACTAATACTCCTGGACAGGGTATGGATTACACAGAGGCTTCTGGGGAGCCCAGTTATGGGGGGTCTGTTTTGCCTTGGCCCCCAAAATGCCTTGAAACGGCCCTGGGTGTGTGACTGAGTTTTGAAGGTGATCTGAATTCTATCAGATGTATAAATATTACATGTGTATAACTTATTTTATACAGGTAAAAACGTGTAGTGGAGATAAATGTACCTACATTTGACTTTTCAACACTTTGTTTTGTTTTCTTGTTTTTATTTAACTATTTCCTGTCCTGTCTGTCTCTCATCTTCCTGCATCTCCTCTAAACTCTCCAGAAAATCTGCTGCCTGGATTCTTACTTTTTCACCTCATCAGTTACTTTGGAGCAGATCAAAGGGATCTCCTGACCGCAAAGCGGAGAGCGCGCTTCGATGCTGCGTCAGTGAGGTGAAATCACCGCAGCACAGGTGATGAGCTCCGCAGTAGCAGGGCGCTTCAGGCACAAATAAGACAGACAGTACAGAACGTGTGCGGACATGAATGATCGTGTGTTACTTTTAGTTTTTTGGTTGCGCCACTTTGAGAATGGACCGTGCGCTGGATGCAGCAGCCTGGAGCGTTGCGCACCAACGATCATCACTCTGCCGCTCTCTGCTCAAAAGAGTCCATGAATGATGTAATAAAG